ACACGAACCACCTGACCCAAACCGTTACTACCGATTTTTCTGCAGCTGGGAGGACATGTTTGCGGACTCACCACAGGAAAGACCCGAAGTCTCGGTCAAAGACGAAGAAGAGAACGACCCTACCTACGACGAGCTCACAATTGGCCGCATGCCGTTCGATTGGGAGGCACCACAGTGGATCCAAGAGTCGCCACCTGCACGCATCGCATACGACGAAGAAGGGTGTTATTATGATTAAGAAAACGAGCATGACATGGAGCACCATATCACTTCGAAGCTCGCAAATTTTGCTAAGGCAAAGAAGGACGTTAACAAATGGTACCTGGACAGCTGTTGCGGCCATCACATGGTGTCGTCGAGCGTCTTCATCCTCTACAGTGAAGAGCTCTCCAACGAAGTTGAAATCACCGTCGCCAACAGCCAAACGATTTTCGCCAGGAGCCGTGGACAGATCCAGCTGGAATCACACGGCACCGGCTACTGCATCCACATCAGCGACTTCCTCGTCATGCCCGAGCTTCGATGCAATCTCCTGTCTCTCGACCAACTAATGAAATGTGGCATCGGATCGCAAACAACAGAAAACGAGCTTCATTTTAATATACAACGTGATCTTCGTCGGAAAAGAAAGAAGTGAAGGAGGAGTGTTTGTCCTTGACTTCGAGTCACCCAGAACTTCTGACGACAACCACCACATCCTCGCCCTTGATCCGCCGGGCCACCCGTCACCACCAAGGTGGAGTCACCCGGAAGAAACGGACTACCAACGCCCAGGGCTTGATGGAACCTTCTGTCGCTCGACACTGGAGCACCAACAGTAGAGAAAGGGGAGGAAATGAGCTCGGAAGGGCCAAACACCGAAGCAGGAAGAGCAGCTCAGGAAACCTGGACTCGCGTTGAACAGCCCACTGGCTGGAACACAACTCAAGGGTGGGGTGCGGTGGACGTCCGTTGGGTGATGGACAACACAGCACTGAAAGCAGCCGCCGCAGCCGAGACCGGTTGGCAAGCCGTTGCCACTGAACCTGCTCAAGAAGAAACAAAAGAGGAACCAGAAGTCACTGAGGAGGCACCGGAAGCAGAAGCAGAGGGATCATTGACGGAATACGGACCTCACCTAATCCCCACCACAGCAGACGATACCTCCATATCGTGACAAGGGGAGTGGCAATAGGGGGCACTAACTTCGAGGAAGGAGAGGTTTCACAGCCAGAGGACCGACGCCTAAGAGTCTTTCCAGCACCTCCTTAGGAACCAATGGAGCTCCCCGTGACCATCGACACCATCACAATCGGCGACACTAGCGGCACGTATCATGGCGTGATTCTCCAGGCAGCTGTAGTACAAGTCGCTGTTTCCAATGAACCTGCGGAGGAAGTTGGAAAGGAAGCCACAGAGAAAATCTTAGCACGGTAAAGGAGCTTTATGCACGGATCAAGAAAATACCGCAACGACCCCGACATCTGGCATCAATGATTCGGGCACCCATCAGTTGAAGTCTCAAGAACTACATCAATGCGAACGTTTTTGCAGCCATATGGAAAGCTACTTAAGCCAAGAACTTGCTTACCGAACTACAACATCTGCCCGACAGCCGCGCTGCATCATGTCAAACTATATATGTTGTGTTGTATTGTGTAGGCTATAGTGGGGTAGCCAATATGGGGTACAACCCCTTTAGGGTTTCATATTTGTACCCAACTCTGATCTAGTTCATTCATTCCTGCCTGTAGATTCTGACATGGTTTCAGAGCAGTAGGTCCGTAGGATTGTTTATTTTTTCGGGCCCACCTACCGTTGCAATTACTGAGCTGCCCCACGTCTTGCCTACGCTGCGCCACCCGTGCGGGCCCTGCCTTGCCTACGCTGCGCCGCCCGCACGCGCCCTGCCTTGCCTGCGCTGCGCTGCCCGCGCGCGCTGCTTTAGTCGCGCGCGCGCGCCACTTCAGCAGCTTGCGCTTCGCCTGCTGCTGCCCCGCGTGCCGCTCAGCTACCCGCGCGCAGCCCGCTGCTGCCCCGCACGTCGCCTCCGCCGCTCGCGCAGCCCGCGACTGCCCCGCGCGCCGCCTCAGCCGCCCTCGCACGCCTCGCTGCTGCCCCGCGCGCTGCCTCCGCCGCCCTCGCGCGGCCCGCTGCTGCCCCGCGCGCAGCCTCAGCCGCCCTCGCGCGGCCCGCTTCTGCCCCACGCGCTGCCTCCGCCGCTCGCGCAGCACGCGGCTGCCTTGCGTGCCGTCTTATCCACCAGCGCGCCGCTCCAGCAGCCTGCGCGCCTCGCGGCTGCCCTGCACGCCGCCCTAGCCAATTGCTCGCCGCCTCAGCAGCTCGTGCGCCGCCACTGCAGCCCTGCGCGCAGCTTCTCCCGGCCTGCGCTCTGCTTTGCCGCCTGCACGCTAATCTTACCTGCGTTGCAATCATGGCGACTCTCATTACCTCCCTGACACTCTTCGCTCAGTCAGGGACCACTTTCTCAGCCTAGACCCTACCACTCTCACTGTCGCCGACTTCGAGAAGCACCTCCTAGCAGCCGAAAAGAACATTCTCGCTGTAGGTGCTGCTCGTGGCACTCCTCGCACTCCCCTCTTTGAGGGGTGCTCCCCCTCCCCTCTTGCCCCCTCTTACGCCTCTGCTGCTGCTGCTGTCGACTTCCTTGGTGCTGAGGAGGTCGGGGCTGCTTCCGCTCCTAGTGGGAAGCGCCGCAGCGCCAGGGGCAGCAGGGGTGGCAGGGAAGGTGGAGGTGGCGGTGGAGGGGCGATGGTGGAGGCGGCGGGGGAGGTGGGAGTGGTGGGGGTGGTCGTGGGGGTGGAGGTGGTGGTGGGGGCGGCGGTGGTACCGGGACCAGTGGAGGCGGCAGCGGCGGTAGTGGGGGAGGAGGGAGCGGTGGTGGCAGCGGTGGTGGGGGCTGGAGTGGAACCGGCCAGAAGGGGAGCTCCGTTGGTGGCCAGGAACAGCAGCAGCAGCAACAGCAGCAGCAGCGGCAGCGTGAGACCCCCACAACTCAGCAGCGTGGGGCGTCTGGGGGTCCTGTTCGCTGCCCCTATATCATTCGCACAAGTCCCTGCAGTGGTCGCCCATGCAACGGTTTTCACACTGAGTACCGCTGCTTCTCTCGGCTTAGCGACGCCTGGCGCGCCAAGTTTCCTGAGGCTACTGAGTTTCCCCCCTGGGCAGACCTGCTTAGGCGTGATGTTCCTATCTTTGATCTTGACTATGATGCGATTCTTGCTGCCATGTATGCATTGACTGTTAGTGCTGAGGGTGACTGCTACTTGTGTATGCCGCCTGACCCAGGTAAAAAGGCTGTAGCCCTAGGTACTAGTGAGTCTGCTCTCTCTGGTACTGCGTCGTCTCAGGCCTTGCACACCTTTACACTTGACTCCAGTGATCTCTCGCTGTTTCTTTCACGACAGTATCACAGTCACTCCCCTCACTGCACCTGTCCCTTTCTCACTGGCTGACCCCTCTGGGGGCCCAGTGCTTGCACGGTCCACTACTGTGCTTCCGTGCCCGGCGGTCCCGTCCGGTGAGCTGTCAGGTCTCCACATCCCCTCGTTCTCTACGAACCTGGTGAGCACCGCCGTCCTTCAGGATCACTGGGTTGACACCTTTACTCCTGGAGGACAGCGTGTGACGCACTGCACGTGCTCTCGAACTTGCCGCCACCTGGCCACGTTCACACGTGCGCCTGGGTCCAGTCTGTACACTCTCGCCGCTGTGTCGCGCTACGCCCCTTTGTCTCCTCAGCTGTACGCGTCTGCTCAGGTAGCTACCCAGTGTGAGTGTCGCCGCCTGTCGCACCAGACTCTCCTTTGGCACCACCGCCTTGGTCACCCCTCCCTGCCCCGCCTTCGTGGCATGCACTCTCGCTCCCTGGTCTCTGGTCTTCCCAGGTCTCTGCCCTCCCTCCCTCCCTCGCCTGCGCCGCCCTGCATTCCTTGCGTCGAGGGGCGGCAACGCGCTGCTCCTCACTCCTCCTCGTTCCCTCCGACAGAGGCTCTATTGCAGACTCTCCACCTGGACGTGTGGGGCCTAGCCCGCGTCCAGGGGCAGGGCCGCGAGCGGTACTTCCTGCTGGTCGTCGACGACTACACGCGTTATGTTATAGATACAATAGGCTTCAACGTGCCTAGAACCAAAGATAGAGATTTCAACGTGCCTAGAACACGCAGTCAGATTTCTGCACAGCGGCTTTAAACATTCATAGCGATCTGGTCACAGCTCCAATCGACCTCATTCAACTTGGATCTGGAGCGTCTTAACGTCACCTACAACAAGCACTTTAGATCGCACGATGTGATCAAGAATTGACGACACAGCGTCAGATTGAACGAACGGCACTATGGCAGCAACATAGTCTTAGGAACACAAAATTAGAAAGAACTAGGAAGAGTTACGAAGGGTTACGAGTTGAGAATGACTCCCAACTCCTACAAACCCCAAGAGTCGACGTACAGTGATGGGGAACAGTGCCACACTGTCCCCAACCAAGAAGGGTCTCGAAACTACCCTTCACAAGGGTCTACACCAACTGGAATGTTATACTACCCATTGTAATGTAACTATCTTCAATATCTTGAGGTGTACCCTTTTTTGCGAGCTTTGAAATCACTTGAAGCTTGAACCAAGGCTCGGGTTCTTCATCACAAACTCATCCTTGAGTTCTTGATGGGTCTGCTGCACACACCTGCGACACGCCGAACCTTCGACTCAGGACAAAATAGAAACCGCGCACGGGACACACGACAAAATAGAAACCGCGCGCGAGACACAAATGACCGCATTAACACGCGGCTAGCGATAACTCGCTATTGACTCGACACACACACACTTGATATATGACCCATCATGCACACACTAATATAAGCATGAAATATATATTCTTTCATGCTCTCATTCCATTCGATGCACACACGCATGCACGCACACGGACAACAAGCCGAGTGCAAACCGTAGGGTTGCACCAACACGTTACACCACGGTCTTTCCCTTGCAGCGCAAGGGGGATGTCCCTGCTGTTCTGATCCCTTGGATCCGCGCTGTTCGTCTCTAGCTCTGTGAGCGGTTCGAGTCGGACTTTCCTGTCCTACATCTGCACCCTGACAGAGGTGGTGAGTTCACATCTGACCTCTTGCTAGCCTTCTGTGAGGAGGACGACATCCGCCAGTCGTTCACGCTTTCGGCCTCTCCGCAGCAGAATGGGGTTACTGAGCGCCGCATTGGCTTAGTCATGGAGGTCGCTCATACCTCCATGATCCATGCGGCTGCCCCCCATTTTCTGTGGTCGTTTGCGGTCCGGTACGCCGCGCATCAGCTCAACCTCTGGCCCCGTGTCTCCGTGCCGGAGACTTCGCCCACACTACGTTGGACGGGGGAGGTTGGCGATGCGTCGCGTTTTCGGGTCTGGGGTGCTCGTGCCTTTGTCCGCGATCTCACCACGGACAAGCTCCCTGCTCGCGCCATTCCCCGTGTCTTCCTTGGCTTTCCTCTTGACGCGCCTGGCTGGCAGTTTTATGACCCCGCCTCGCGACGTGTCTTTGCGTCTCAGGGCGTCACCTTCGACGAGTCGGTCCCCTTTTACCGTCTCTTTCCCTACCGCATTGCTCCTCTCCCCCCCCCGGCGCTCTTTCTCGCTCCAGGTCCTCCCCAGGTAGACCCCCTCCCCCCTCCAGGTCCTGCTCCTTCAGGTGTGTCTCAGGTAGACCCTCCCTTGACTGAGCCTGTTGAGGTCACTGGTGACTCAGGACCTATTGGGGGTGGTCCTGCTCGGGGTGCTGAGCCTGAGCGTGCTGAGCCTGGGGGTGCTGAGCCTGGGGGTGCGGAGCCTGAGGGTGCTGAGCCTGAGCGTGAGGAGCCTGGGGGTGCTGAGTCTGGGGGTGCGGAGCCTGGAGGTGCTGAGCCTGAGCGTGAGGAGCCTGGGGGTACTGGGTATGGGGGTGCTGAGTCTGGGGGTACTGAGCCTGAGGGTACTGAGGCTGCTGGTGAGCGGTCTCCTTGGAGTGGCCGCCTACGTAGTCACACTCGTCGACGTGAGCCTCTCTCTCCACAGCAGCTACACGTATGGTACGCTCGCCGTTAGGGTCGCACTGCTGGAGCTCGGGGTTCTGCCGCTGGTGGCGCTTCTGCTAACGTCACTGGCGCTGGTGAGCGAGGAGCAGGCGACACTGGAGCAGCTGGGTCTGAGGACCCTGGCGTTGGTGGTACTGCTGACCTTGCTACAGGAGGTGCTGTTGGAGCTGCTGGCGCTGGAGCTGGGAATGGTGCTGGTACTTTGTCTGCTGGAGGTGCTGGAGCCGCTAGTCCCGGAGGTGCTTGTACTGGAGGTACTGGAGCTGCTGGGGCTGGAGGAGCTGCTGGACCTGGTGGTCCTCCTGCTGGAGGTACTGGGGCTTGAGACCTTGGAGCTGGTGCTGTCGACCCTGGAGCTGGATGTGTCGTTTCTGAGGGTACTGCTGCTGGTGGCGCTGGAGCTGGAGGTGCTGGCGCTGGAGGTTCTGGAGCTGCTGGGGACGGTGGAGCTACTGGTGCTGGTGGCACTGCTGCGCAGGGGCTGTTCTTCTCTCGGCTGTCACCGTCGTCTCTGCCGCCGTCTGACTCCGTGCTTTGCTAGGTTCTTAGCCTCCCGCCTTCTACTGGTCTTCCGTTACAGCCTGGCTCACCACTGCCTGCTCCTTCTCCATTCACTGAGCAGACAGGAGGTCTTGCTGAGCGTCGTGACTCTACGTCTCGTCTTGTCTCGCCTGTTCGCACTGGTCGCACTGGTCGTGTTCCTCGTGAGTGTCCGCCTGCCGTTCCCGGCACGCACACTATGGTACTACGTCCTTCCTCTGTTCCACAGCGTGTTCCTCTGCTGTCTCCTCCTGCGTCCTCTCTGCCTGACGTTCCGGACCCTGAGTCTGACCGGTTTCGTGCTACACACCCTACTGTCACGCGTCTGTTAGCCACTGTTGTCACTAACCCGTCGTTTGAGTCTGCTGCTGCATCTGCCTTAGTCGCTGAGCTTGTTGACTTTGCTGCTCTCTGTCGTCTCGACTACGCCGCTAGTCTTGTTGCTGAGTCTGAATCTGTCTGTCCTCCGTCCGTCGGGGGTGAGTGTGCTCTTGGCACGGACGTCCTTAAGGACAGTTAGGAGGACCTTGAGTGTCTTGCAGCCACTGCGCCTCATCTCGTGGCCATGCTGCTTGCCCCTGAGGGAGACCCGGATGCACCAGACATCCCGACCCCGCGTTCTTACGCTGAGGCGATCGCGGGTGAGTACTCCTCTCAGTGGCAGACAGCCATGGACGCAGAGATGGCATCCTGGAAGTCCAGAGGCACTTACTGTCAGAATATTATGCTCTAGCCTGTAGTGGGGTGCTCTGTAGCGAGTACAACCCTTCTAGGGTTTGCTATTTGTATCCCCATTCTTGCTAGTTCAGTCCTCTCTTTTGCCTTCATTCTCTCTTGCCTAGCTAGGTCAACCCTAGCTATGGCTCCTCAGTATACCTATTATCACGACACTTACGTCGATGAGGTTCCCCCTCCTGGGGCGAACATCGTCGATGGCATGTGGATTTTCAGGGTGAAGCGGCCGCCGGGTTCTCCGCCTGTCTTCAAGGCTCGTTACGTTGCTAGAGGCTTCAGTCAGCGTGAGGGAGTCAGACCTTATCCCCCACCCCGAAGATGACCACTCTTCGGATGCTGCTGCACGTTGCCGCTTAGCGTGACTACGAGCTTCACTCTCTGGACTTCAGCACAGCCTTCTTACAGGGCAGCCTGCACGAGGAGATCTCGCTGCGCCGCCCACCTGGCTTCACTGGGTTGTTTCCTCCTGGTACCCAGTGGAGCCTCCGACGGCCGGTCTACAGTCTCCGCCAGGCGCCTCGTGAGTGGCATGACACACTGAGGACTACACTTGCGGCTCTTGGGTTTGCTCCTTCGATAGCTAACCCGTCGCTGTTTCTGCGCACCGACACTTTGCTGCCGCCGTTCTACATCCTCGTGTACGTCGACGACTTGGTCTTTGCCACTGGTGACACTGAGGCTCTCGCTCTGGTGAAGTCGGAGCTGCAGAAGAGACACACGTGCACATACCTGGGTGAGCTGCGTGGTTAGCTTGGCTTGCAGACCACGCAGGACAGTGCACGCCGCACCATCACACTGACTCAGTCACACATGGTGCAGCAGGTCCTTCAGCGCTTCGGCTTCAAATGGTCCTCGCCATAATCCACTCCTCTGGCTACAGGTCACTCGCTCTCAGCTCCACCTTCGGACGAGTCTGTAGAGCCGAGTGGTCCGTACCCAGAGCTAGTGGGCTGCCTCATGTACCTGATGACCTGCACTCGTCCTGACCTTGCGTACCCTCTTGGCCTTCTGGCATGCTACGTGGCTCCTGGTCAGCACCGAAAGGTGCACATGGATGCTGCGAAGTGGGAACTGCGCTACTTGTGCAGTACATCGGGCATGGGGCTCGTGCTTGGAGGGCGGAGTGAGGTTGTCCTCACTTGGCACTCAGACGCTTCTTGGGTTGACGACCTGGCTACGCAGTGGTCGTCACAGGGTTACACTTTCAGCCTTGGCTCCGGCTCTGTTTCTTGGCGGTCTACTCGCTCTTCTTCTGTTCTCAGCTCCAGTTGTGAGGTTGAGATCTACGCCACAGCCATGGCTGCACAGGAGCTACGCTGGCTCACCTACCTGCTGACCGACTTGGGAAAGATAGGCCTCGTTCTCCTCCAGTTCTGTACGTCGACAACAAGGCCGCCATTGCCTTGTGTCAGGAGCACAGACTGGAGCACAGAACGAAGCATATCGCTCTGCGTTACTTCCTGGCTCGAGAGTTGCAGCAGCGTGGTCAGCTTCGTCTTCGTCACGTGGCCACTCGGGCCAACACTGTTGATATATTCACCAAGGCACTTCCGTCTGGTAATCATCAGTGTCTGTGCACTCTGTTAGGCCTGGTGCCAGTTTCGTCTCACTTGTTCACTTCTTGACTTTGCTTATACTGTGATTTATACATGTATATCGGCATGCTTGCTCTGTTAAGTAGTGATCACTATACTGATGTTGTTGCATATACGCCTCTGTATGTGAACTAGCCTTGTGGTCCTTTGCTTGTGCTCAGTGTGTGTGGTGACGTTGTGATCCACCCTGAGCTTGCTTTGCTTTTCTTGATTGGTCTTGTGAGCCCTTGTTCTCCCCCACGTTGCCTATGGGGGTGTGTCAAACTATATATGCTGTGTTATATTGTGTAGGCTGTAGTGGGGTAGCCAATATGAGGTACAACCCCTTTAGGGTTTCATATTTGTACCCAACTCTGATCTAGTTCATTCATTCCTGCCTGTAGTTTCTGCAGAGACGTCACACGCCCTTCGCTGAGAAGATACCGGGAGCTGACCGATACAAGCCACTTGAGAAAGTCTACAGTGACTTTTTCGTACTTACGGCAAAAGGGGTTGGAGGGGAACAATACACGCTTACTTTCATCGATGCCGGCACACGCTTCGTCTGGGCCGTGAACATCAGCAACCGTTATCTCACCTACCAGTGCTTCGAGGTCTGGGTTAACATGGCGAAGACAAAGAGCGAGGGACAGAAGTTGAAGGCGTTTCAGATAGACGGGGCCCTGGAGTACAAGACAGAGGAGTTCAAAACCCTTTGCAAATAGAAGGGGATTCAGCGGATGATTTCCCTCCCCTACGCTCACGAGCAGCAGGGACTGGCGGAGCAGACCAACAGGAGCCTCGCAACAAAAATTCGAGCTCTCATGAAGCAGCCAACTGTGCCAACCAGATATTGGCCGTTCGCGATGGCACACGCAGTTCGCGTGCACAACATGCTTTCTTTGAAGGCACTGCCCAACAACACCTCTCCCTTCAAGGAATGGATTGGGAAACATCCCGACACACGGATGCTGCGGGTCTCCGGACGCATGGTACAGTACCGTCCTCATACTGCTCGCACTGGAAATTTTGAAGACCGCGCTCGGTGGGGCATTTACCTCGGAATCGAATCCGAAGACCGCACTTGGACGATTCTGGACTTAGCCACCCACCAGCTCACTTGTTCACGTGACCGCATCTTCTACGAAAGACTGACCCTGGCACTTTACCAACAGCACCACACTGCACAAAACGCACCGGAAAACCTTTTCCAAGGACAGCACAGTTATGCCAATGACGAGGATGACATCGCCGTGGCAGGAGAACAGCCAGATGAAGTAACTGGGGATGAGGCGCCCTTCATACCCGTTACAGAGGAGCTCAGAACAACAACATTCTTCCCAACCGAAACTGATCCTCACGAAGCAGTACAGGCACAGCACAATTACGCAAGTGCAGAAATTCACTCACCCGTGGAAGAAGACCCCACTCGTAATTCCTCTCGCGACATGATTCGCGAAATCCTTGGCGACGACGATGACGTGATCGAAGTTACAAATGCCATGGAATCCAACCCCACAAGCCTTCGCATCCTTGGACTTGCCGTCGCCGTATGAGGTAAACAGCAGCTGGTCGAACCCACCACCGTCTGCCAAGCTCTCGGCGGGCCCGACGCCGAGAAATGGAGAGCAGCCATGGCCGCTGAAGTCGCTGCACTACAATGGCGTGGCACCTGGAAGCTGGTACCACGACGACACACAAAGGGCAGAAAGATCCTCACATGGAAATGGGTCTTCAAATTAAAACGCTCGCGGAGGGGACTATCGACAAATACAAAGCTCGATGGGTTGTCAGCGGTTTCAAACAGACCCAGTTCGTGGATCACAATCAGACATTCGCACCTGTCAGACGACATACCTCTGTGCGAGTCCTCCTCTGCATCGCAGCCATGAAACAGCACCCCCTCCGCAAGATCGATGCCTCCAACGCCTTCCACACACATCATCTATGTGGAGCAACCACACACCTTCGAGGAAAACGACGACGCCATCTGCCTACCCCAGAAGTCCCTCTACCGGATCAAACAGGCCCCACACTTGTGGCAGCAGTACCTACACACCGTACTACTGGAACTCGGCTTCAAGCAGATTCCCCACGATCAGGGGATGTACCGTCTTCCATCTACATCATCACCCCATTCCGCACTACTTCACCTAACCACGAACCCGACACCACCCTGCTCTCCCCAACCGATCATCGCCTCTACCAGCAGCAGCTCGGCTGTCTACTGTTCGCCGCCGTCACTCTCCGAACGGACCTATCCTACATCGCCAGCCACCTCGCCCAGTACCTGCGTCGACCTGAAGGGGAGAATATGGCGGACCTATGACGCGCCTTACAGTACTGCATCTCTACACCTGGCGTCGGACACACCTACAAGGAAAACCTAACGGCTACTCTACAACTTACCAGCCACGTAGATGCCGGGCATGGCGGGGACGCAGAAAATAGCAGGTCCCGCACAGGCTTCACCTTCAAGCTTGAGCCCACAGGAACGATCTCCTGGAACTCACAAAAACAAGAGCTCGTCGCCCTTTCGTCAGAAGAAGCAGAATTCATCGCACCAAGTGCAGCAGTTCGCGAAAGACTCTACCCCATGGAGCTCCTGCAGGAAACAGAAATGGTGATGAATGGGTCCGTCAAGTTACACTGCAACAACCAAAGTGCGATCAAGATCGCGAACAAGCCGGGCTTCGTCAACCGCACGAGACATATCGCCCCGCGTTACTTTTTTTTTGTCAAAGACGAAATCGACAAAGGGAAGGTCCAGCTCACCTACTGCCCAATTGGCGAAATGGCAACCGATTTCTTTACGAAGAAACTGCCACGTCAGAAGTTCGAGTACCGCTCGGACCTGTGCGGAGTCGTTCGAAAGAGCCACGTGGCGCACCTCCAGGAATGGAGGGGGGGTGTTGGAGTATGAAGGGAATTGAGTTTAGCATTCTTGAACGTGCAGCAGTATCGCACCCGTCACTATCGAAACATCACCAGCAGCAGTATCGGATCAGCCCGTATCAAAGGCAGGAAGGCCAACAATCGCAAAGCAAACCGTCGCGACTGTTGACCATCTGGACCGACGATTGACTCACCATCGAGGAATGGCAACAGGCGTAACCGTACGCACGGTTACAAGCAGCGACTCGGTAACAAACAAGAATCGCAATAGCCAGAGTCATTGTAGAACTGCCTGTAAAACGGTTAGAATAAGGGA